CCATGGAAATTCAATGTGACCTTCTTTGAGTTTACTGGGAAGGATGTTAATATGGAAAATTAAAAAAGAAAACAAAGAGCTCAATTGGATTTCTAGCACCTCTGTCTCGGGGTGTCTCTTCTGACTTTCTCCCCCTTCCTCCCACTTTCTTTTTCCTGAGTCCCATTTTCTCTTCCTTCCTTTGCCTTTTCTCTCTTCTCTTTATGCCTTTGTTTCCTCCTTTTTCTCTCCTTTCTGGTTATTTTCCTCTTCCTCTTTTTTTCTCTCATTCTCTTTCATCCTTTCTCCCTTGTCTCTCCTCTCTCTTCTCTCCTCCTTTCCTAAAGCCCTCCTTCTCTCTCCTTCGGCCCCCCACCTCTATCTTGTCACCCACAGGAGGCTCTGGGAGACCTCTGCCTACTCATGGGGGCTTCCCTGACAAGGCCCATCTCCCTCCCTGACAGCCCTGCCATTGACGGATCCATCTAATTTTTATGTACAACTGTAAAGATGAATGATAAGTAGAAAGGATGCAGGCAAGAGCGAGATGAATAAATTATAAAGGGCAAAAGATGACAAGACAGGGGTCCCCAGAGACAGTGATATGATAACAGAAACTAAAGACGAATTTATGATGGATGGAGTTAGCATGTACGGAGACTGTTAGTTCTTTGGGGTAGTTTTACAACTTCTAGTGAATGGCACAATCAAAGCGTTCCATTTTAGAGATGTGATGTATTTCCACTTGTCTGTCCTGGGTGCAGAGTGTGTGGTTTTGTCTCTAAACAGTGAGCCTGGGTTCCCCTTCAGCACTTGTGTCTTCTCTCCCAATCCCTACCACCTTCTCTATCTGCTTCAGATCAGAGCCACTAGCCAGATCCCCACGGAGCCCCACTTCCCTGGTTCTGGTGTCCTTCTTGCTGAGAACTGGACAGCCAGGTGGCTGTTCTATGGTAGGGAGGGAAGAGGTCTTCAAGAGTGTTTGAGTCATGGGGGCCCCACCAGCATCTTCTCTGCATCTCCCACCTGACCTCTTTGGGGAAATGAATGACATATCTTTCTTTTTTTTCCCTATATTCCCTAGAAAGAATGATTCATCTGTCCTTTTAAGGGGTGATTTTGTGGTTTTGCTTCCCAGGGTACAGCTGACAATGTCTGGAGACATTTTGGGTTGTCATAAGTGGGTGGTACTACTAGCATCTGCTGGGCAGAGGACAGAGATGCCGCTAAATATCCTACAATGCACAAAGAATAACCCCTGACAACCAGAACTATCTGGTCCCAAATGTCGGTAGTGCTGAGATAGAGAACTCCTGTCCTAGGGCCAGAGAGCCAATAGGTCAGGAAGAAGACAGAACAGTGAGGTCCTGGGCAGAGCATTCCTCTCTCTCACTCACTGGTTCTCGTTCATTTTGGGGACAAGCTCAGAAGTCCTTAGAGTGCTAGAAGGGGAAGAGTTTATTGAAGGAGGCATTCACTCAAATGGTATAAGAATTGAGGAGCAGTGGGCCACAGGAGCGTATAGAGCCCACCTCCAGGCATGAAAGACCATTTGGGGTTGGCAGTCATGCACACTCACGCCCGCAGGCCAGATTTTGCCCAAAGGCTGCCAGTTTTCAGCACCAACTTCCAGCTCAGCTCTCGCATTGTAATTGGGTGGTATCTGTGATCCAAGTGAGATGAAGTTGAGTTTGCTCATGACAGAGCTGGGACCAGAACCTCAGCCTCCTGTGGGGATTCTCCATCTCCTCCCTCCAGAAGAGTCTCCATCCTGACAGGAAACAGAAACCTGGCAGGCATCTGTCGAGTTCAAACTTTCCAGTCCAGCAGCCCTCCACCACAAGACACCAACCATTCCACAGACACAGCCAGGGATCCTGTGCTGGTCCCATTAGGCAGAAGGAAACACCAGGGTTCCAAGAGGGAACCTTTAAATCCAGAGACTGAGGGCCAGGGGCTGCCTCTCCTCTTCTACACCGTGGCCCCAGCCCCAGTCCTGTGCCCACTGCTTTCATCTTCACTCTTCCCCACAGAACCATCTCGAAGCCCTTCCTCATTGAGGCTTTGTCCACACTGTTCCTCCCTCCTAGATGACCCACCCTCCTTTTCCCTGCCCCTCCCGTACTGGCCTGGGGCTCCCCATTTTTCAGGAGAGTGACTCTTAACCCCCCTAGGGGCCACGTCTCCCTTTGGGGACCCCAGTGCTAAGCCTAGGCCTGGCCAAAGTGCCAGAGAACCTCTGTGTCCATAGCCATCATATCCAACTTGAAGGAAATAAACAAGCAAGAGGGGACGTAAAAATCATTGTTAGAGCTGGGGCTGGGCGTCGGAAGCTGAACGCCAGGTCCAGCCCTGCCACCCACAAGCTGTGTGACTTTGGGCAGGGTCCCTGGGCCTCCACCTTCTGGACTATAAAAGGAAGGAGTGGACCCGATTGCAGCCAGAGTCCCTCCCAGTTCTGACAGTCTTTTAATATTAAGAATAATGGACTTGCCATTACTCACATGACTTAGGACGACAGGGAGCCGAGGGGAGAGTGGGAGAGCGAGGAAGATAGTGTCTCCTGTTTGCCACTGCCTGACGCCATTTGTGACAAGTGTAATAAAGCACAAGTCACATATGTCTCTCCCACATGCAAACCAACCAGACGTCCTGCTGCACCAGGGCCAGGGCAGGGGCTACGGTGAGAGGCTACGTTCCCGCCAGCTTGTCCAGCCCTGCCCCCTGTTCAGGTCTCCTTCTGAGGAGATCAAGCAGACTTTTCCCAGCTTTCTCCATCACTGGCCCAGGTGTGGTTTGGATCAAGGTTGCCATCACCTGAATCAGCAGCAGTAATGTTTACAGCTAACTTTCCCACCTTCCAGGTGCACAACCTTTGTATGTGTGTGTATGGGGTGGGGGTGGGCGGTGGTGGGAAGGAGATGAGATATGAGATAGGGTCTGACATTGGACAAAAATGAGTAAGACACGGCCCATTTCTGAAAAAGCTTACAATCTGGTATGGGAAGTGAGTATGAAGACAGCTGAAGATCAAGGAAATATCTGTAGGTGCCAAAAAATGGTAGTGATGGGAAGTGCCCAGGGTTCAGGTGAGAAAGACAAGGTAACAACCCAGGGTGTCCCGGGCGAGCCCACACACCTGCAGTGGCCTCCCTGCTTCCAGGCTCTCACCCCTCTGATGAAGTCTTCAAAGGACGGTCAAAGTTATCATGTGGGATAAAGATCTGATCACCTGAAAAGTCTTCCTGCTTCCCGTCACCCACACAATTTAGTCAGGTGGTCAACTCCCTCTCCCGCCACAAATCCTCCCAGCCCAAGGAGTTCTTGCCCAAACACAGCCTCTTTTCTCAAGCTTCTGTTTTTGTGGTTTTTGTATCATTCCCTTCGCCTGGAGAATTTCTGCTCATCCTTGGGCACCCAAATCCAACATTACTTCTTCTGTAAAGACTTTGCAATGCCCCTGACACTCACTGCTGTCCATCAGTCAGCCCCATGTTGCTCTGTAAACTCTAGTTTTCACATCTTGGAGTTCCAGACCCTAATTCATTCCTCTACCTGCTCATGTGCCTGGGACTGGTTCAGAGTGAGAGTAGGAGGGAGGGAGGGAGGCGGCTTCTGTCTCCACCCATCAACCTCGCTGGTCTGGGAATCTCCCAGGATACAGTAGATCCACTCTCGTGGTTCATCTTCCACCACCATCACCTCTATGCCCCTCTAGAATGTTTTCAGCCTAACCCACCCTTCAGGATTACGTTTGCAAAGTTGAGCAGATCTCACTTTGTGGCCGTGGTTGCGTGCAGGAAATGCTGTGCACTGGGTGTTTTTGCCTAGGCATTGGCAGCTGGCATGAGTCTAAGTGTCTGTGCAGGTGCTGACTGGAGCAAGAGGGCGTTCTCCAAGTGTGTGTGAGAGCAAGGTGTGTGTCAGCCAGAGAGAGAGCCTGAGGGTATCATAGGGGATGTGCTGCGTGAGTCTGGATGAGGCTGTTAAGGAGTTTGTTGACCTTTTGCCAGAAATCAAGGCCGGGAACCAGAATGTCTCTGTGAGCTCCTGGTCCAGGGTGGATGTATTTTAGGGTTGGAGGGATTGCTGCTAGGGAGCATGTGTGTGGGAGAGCAGAGGGCCCAGTGTCTTGGATGCTGGCCTGCATGGGCAGATGCATGGGAGCGAGGTTCCGGAATGGTGGGCTGCCGTGGATACAGGCAAGTGCCCATGTGCCAGGAGGAGAAGGCGTCGAGAAGGCAGGGTCGCCATCAATGTGGGCAACTCTGGGGGGTGATGGCAGAAGGAGGTATTGTTCTCTTTTCTTAAGTTCCTCAGAAAATAGTTGTTGTGAAAATAAAAGCACCGGAGACCAGGGAAATGACATGTCTCTCAGGACCCCAGAGTGGAGCAGTGGTTAAGAGCTGGCAGCTAACCAAAAAGTTGGCGGTTCAAATCCACCAGCCGCTCCTTGGAAACCCTATCGGGCAGTTCTGCTGTGTCCCATAGGGTCGCTATGAGTTGGAATCAACTTAACAGCAACAGGGTTTTTTTTGTTTTTTTTTTTAAGTTCTCAAGACCCCAGAGTATTGGAGTTCAAGTGCACATTTTGATCAAAGGCATTTGTGGTATATTCTCAATGAACCACTAGGGGGCGCCAGGCAGGTGGCTTCCTCTCCTAGTGCCTGAGCGGGCATAAGGCAAGTGTATTTAAACGTGAGCCTGGTGCGCCCAGCTCTGTGCTCTTCTCCAAGCACTCCAGTCCACCCTTGAGACCACTTACAGCCTGCGAGCAGGACACCAACCAGCTGGATGACTGGGGACAAGCCACCTAGCCTTTCAGGGCCTCCATTTCTTAATTACTATAGTGAAAATCATAAGGGCAGGTCTTTATGGAGTCCCTGAATGGTGCCAATAGTTAACAGGCTTGGCTGCTAACCAAGAGTTTACAGGTTCCAGTCCACCCAGAGGCACCTCGGAAGAAAGGCCTAGAAATCTACTTCCAAAAAATAAGCTATTGGAAACCCTTTGAAGCACAGTTCTACTCTGACACACTGTGAGTTGGAATCGATTTGTTGGCAAGTGTTTTCTAAACCCCTTATACGCTATGGATTGCTATAAACAATCAAAGTATTATTATTAATGATAAAACAATGATGTGAGTGTGGATGACCTTCAGGGTCTTTTGCCACAGTAAAATCCTGTGACTCCTAATTCATACATGAAATAATCAGAGGACAATTAAATATAAAATGGTCAAATACGTGATTTGGACTATATGTCCCGTTACATTTCAGAAAAGGGAGATGACTGCGAGCTGGAGTGATCATAAAGGGCTCCGTGGAGGAGGAGAGAATCCGGATGTGTGCATCAGGGAGAGGAAATTGGAAAGGCAGTAAGAGGGAAAGGCTTTGGGAGGAGTGAGGGATGAGAACGGGAGGCTGTGGCTGGAAGGCGAGGAAGTGCTTCTCTCCCACCACAGCCCTCCAGCACCACCAGCCCCTTCCAGCCTGCAGGTTTCAGTCAACCCCAGCAGACAGTCTTCCCATCCCAGCATCCTGTACACCCTGGCCATGGCTTCAGGCCCCAGCACTTACAGGCCTTTCTCCCTCCAGAAAAGGCCCTGCCTCCTTACCACTCACCCACCGGAATCCTCCCTGGGTTTCAAGACTTCAGTCTGAGCTCCTGCCTTCCTCTCTGAGTTCTCCCAGACTGCTCTAACCCACATCCGTCTCCCCTTCTCTGAGCTTCCACAAGCCACCAGTGCGTGAAGTCTAAATCCTAGTCAAAGTGTGCACCTCAGACCAGTGCCTCAGCATCGACTGGGGGCTTGTTAGAAATGCAAGATCATGGGCCCCACTCTGGACAGTCTGAGGCCTGTCACTCCCAGACAGTGTTTGCCTGCAGCTCAGAGCAGAGCCCAATACGGATCTGTAAGAAGCCCTAGTAACTCAAATGGTTAAGGGCTTGGCTGCTAACCAAAAAGTTGGTGGTTCAAACCCATCCAGCAGCTCCGAGGGAGAGAGACCTGGTGATCTGCTGCCATAAAGATTACAACCCTAGGAAATCGTATCAATTCTACTTTGTCATATGGAGTTGCTGTGAGTTGGAATCGGCCCGACCGCACCCAACAACAACAGTTTCCAGTGTGTTCCAGAGCTGCTTCTTCACTATAGCACTGCTAACTCATTGTGTTTATCCCAACTACTGACGTGATTTCTAATTTCGTAGGATTTGTTGGGGGAGGGGAGGAGTTCAGTCCCTTAGTTACCATAATTCTATCATCTGTATCTTTCTGGAGCGTGTATCCTTCTGTGCCTCTATGTGTGGCTTAGGTATTAAAGAATCGAAGGCCACGGTGCCGCCAGACAGCTGCCCCCATATCACACTCCTTCATTCCCTGGTTGGTTTCCCCATCGTGCACTCTTTTGGGCAGGTCCATTGAGAGGCATGTCACTGGGGTTGGCCAGTGCTCAGGGCCAGCAGCAATGGTGCAACTTTATTTTTCAGAGACTAAAGCATGACCTCTCGTGGTCGGTTGTAAGGGGATGTGGGCTGATGTGTATGTGCTACACATCAACACTGCTTGAGGATGAGAATGTACCCTCATGATTAGCTTCAGCTCGACTGGACTGGGAGCTGGGGAGGGAGGGTCAGGGAGGGCCCCAGGTCAACCCATGCCACCCTCTGCTCCTGAGGCCCTTCTTCGTGGCCACTGCCAGCAGCATCAGCACGAGGAAAACCCCTTACTGGTATTGCTGTCCCACAAGATGGCAAGTCTCTGGTCAGAGTGCTCAGGCAGAGTCTGAGTCACCTGGCAGGGCAATGCAGGCAGTCCCTACATTGGACCAAATCACTTCTAGGGGATGAGCTAAGGTCTCATGATTTTGCCGCTGTTTTACTTGCTTCTCCATCATAAAGGGCCCAGTCCCAGTCCTCTGTCTCAGCCAAACCCTGCTGTCCTGCACTCCCCAGCCTCTACCCTGGAGGAAGTCCTCGTGACCACTCTAGCCCTCCCCCATCTCTGCCTTCTCTGAAGACCCTCAGGACTTAAAGACCACACTCGCCACGCCACTAGACAGGCTCAGGCCCCAAGTTCGGTCAACCCAGATTTCAAACTCTGATCCACCACTCTGAGCTGTGTGACCTTGGGCAAATTACTTCACTTCTCTGTGCCTCGGTTTCCTCATCTTAGTCCTGGGAATGCCAAAGGTGCCTTTATCCAGGGGCTATATACGGATGTTGTTGTTAGTAGCGGCCATCGAGTTGGCCCTGACTCATGGCAACCCCATGCACGACCGAACAAAATGCTGCTGGGTCCTATGCCATACCCATGATGAGTTGCAGACTGGATCATTGTGATCCAAGAGGCTTTCATTGACTAGTTTTTGTTAAGTAGATCATCGAGCTTTTTTCCCTAGTCCACCTTAGTCTGGAAGCTCCACTGAAACCTGTGCAGCATCATAGCAACACACAAGCTTCACTGACAGATGGATGGTGGCTGTGCTTGAGGTGCATTGGCCAGGAATTGAACCCGGGGGTTCCACATGGAAGGAGAAGAAAATTCTACCACTTAACGAACTACCACTGCCCCCTGTTTACAGATAGCGGGACATGATGCGTGCGCAGCACTGAGCACCCTGCTTGCACTGTGGAAAAATGCAAAGTAATGGTCTCCCTGCTGCTGCTGCTATTGCTGTGGTGATTCTCTCTCCCTGAGAGGAGCCAGTGTCCCTATCTGGCCCCTTCAGCTCCACCCCCGTCTGCTCTGGGCTGGAGAACAGCTGACCCAGGGTGCATAGCAGCAAGCCCTCCTGCTGCACAGCCTAGCACAGGGCTGGCCGTGTGGCGAGACCAGCACACCCCACTGAATTGAAGCCAGTGTGGGAGTGCGGGGCCTGGAACATCTGCAGAGGCCTCTGGTCCCGCCCTGCCAAGGCCTGGCCGTGCTGGAAGAAGATGGTTCAAGATTGCCGCCGTCATGCCCCCATGTGAGGTGGTAGATAAATGTGTCCTAATGGTTTGCAAAACCCCCGGACGGGCCCTACATACCTCCCTCACCACTCCCTGTTCAGCACCCCTGCCAAAAAAAGGGCAGCACCCCTGGAATCTGAGTAAGGAGAGCCCAGAAGATCAAAAACCCGAACCAGTGAGAACAGGAACAGAACTGTGCCCTGGATGCCTGCTTGTTCTTGATGGTCTGGGAGGCCTTCAGGGCAGGGAGGCTGAGGGGTCTGCAATGAATATGCATTCCGTCTCTCCCAGAAGCCCTGACAGCTGGCACCCGACAGCTGGAACTGCTCAGAGCCTGAGAAAAGGTTTTTAATTCAATTCAGCAAGTGTTTCCTGAGCACCCACCAGAAGCACGACCCTGTGCTAGGTGCTGCTTGGCAGGTGGAAGTGAGGAGAAGGCGAGCACCTTGCTGCCCCATGGGGGCTTTCCCTCCTGCAGAGGAGAAAAGATGTACATGCCAAGCAATTAGAGGACAATGAATTGATACTTCTGGCTGAAATTTCGAGCTCTTAGTGGTTTGGGAATGCTGCAAGGTGGTGACTGCTTGCCGAGTGCCTTCCAGGAGCCGGAAGCACTGGGCTCTGGGGACACTGTCCTCTGAGGGACAGGAGGATTGGAGGTGAGAGGGATAGTGTGAGGAAGGCAGGGAGGAGGGCGGGAGCCAGGGTGTGTGTGGAAGATGGTACTGACGGGAGCTCAGGGCGCTCAGAAAGGGGTTGGGCATCATGAGTACGGGCGCTAGAACCAGAGTAGGAAAGGCCTTTAACATCCCACTGACGAACTCCAGTCTCTTTTCTTTGGGTACGTGGGAGCCATTGAAGCTTCTTGAGGGGAGGCACGGCAGACTTGCAGGGGCGAAGCTTGAGCCAGTCCTGACGAGAAACCAGAGGCCGCGAGGTGGCATCAGGAATGGGCAGTGGGGAAGCTGGAGAGCCTTCCTGAGTCTCCCTGAGCTGTGTCAGGAGCAGCCTCGAATGGGCAGAGTTGGCACACCTGGGGCAGGCAGGGGCTGGCATAGGCTGCTCACCTGGTCCTGATGCTGCCCAAGTCAGGGCAAGTCCGGCTGGTGGAGGGTTTAGGGGAAATGTGGCTCTCTCTGAGCCCCTGAGGCTGGTAAGGGGAACATGCATCACCCTCACCTCATGGAGGACCTCTCCCACCTTGAGGCGGATGTCTCTGTGCAGTTCACACAGGGCTGGGGAGCTTCCTAACCACCTGACAGCACAGCAGAATCACCAGGGAGTCTCTTTAACATTCAGATTTGTAACAAATGGCAAAGAAGGATGGGGGCTCAGCATCTCTGTCTTTGCACACGCACGTGTGTACTCAAACACACACACACACACACACACACACACACAGATCTATGAAGTTTGGGTATGGCCCAGGAATCTCTGTGTTGCAAACACTCCCCAGTGGTTCCAGAGCCCCCCCAGCTCTGGGAACCCTGAGAGCTCCTCCCCATTCTCTGCCCAGCACTGCCAGGAAACGCTGACTCCTTTGGGGCTGGAAGAGTTTGACCTGTTAAGAGGGCTCTTCCCTGCTGTTATGTTTCCCCCTGAGGGCCAGAGAACCTCAGAAAGAGCGGGAGGGGCCTTAGCATCCCTCACTCCCCACTCCCATTTTGCATGGGCGACACAGAAGCCCAAAGGTCCACAGACACAGTTCTGCTAAGATGCCCTTTCGGGTCCCTTCTCATTGACAGCATGGCCTTTATCTCGGAGGTCTGTGATTGATAAATCAGGTAAAACCTTCCTAATTCAGAAGAGCTGGGGAGGACACCCATTCTCATTAGCATCCATATTATGGGATGTGCTCAGTGCAATTTGATTGCTTCTGAGTAGACACTCCACCAGTGTTTCCTAGTTAATGTCCTGCCAAACCTGCCTTAATGAACAGATTCAAAACATGTGTAATTAGCACAGTGACGGTGCAACAGAGAGGGCTGCTAAGCCACATGCAAACACTCTTAGGTAGATGACATATTCCTGCAGACAGTAATTTTGTCTACATTATTTATTTGCTGAACATTTTTTTTTTTTTTTTTTTTTTGCACCAGA